GGGAAGAGGGAGGGGGGAGGGGCGACGAAGCAATTCATTTTGGCACCAACTGAAGTTAGTCTTCTCAACAAGTTTCTTAGACGAACTCAAAGCTTAATTGAAGAGGTGTTTCTAACAGGCTGTTGTATGCCTTACGAAACCTTTTAAGCCAAAAAAAAAAATCATCACAAATTGTTGAGCAAAAAGCGGACTTTTTTTTTTTAACAGAATGTAGTTCTTCATGAAAAAAATGAAGGATTGCGTACACATCCACCCAACAAAGAGTTAAAAAAACCAGTGGAAAAAGTGTCAAAAACGTAAACGTTGAGCCACCATAATTCCATCGCAAGCACATAGCTTGAAAACCACCAATTCCAAGTGTGTCATGAAAGATAAAGGCAATGACTTACCTAACAAGCTGCATGGTTTTGAAGCTTTCCAAAGGATTTTCATCATAATTGTCTTTGAGGTCTGTCAGACCGACCACACCATATTTGGACATAGGAAGCCGGACGAGGAGTCCTTGATCGGGAAAAATCTTGGTAACCTGGCCTGTTAACACTTGGGTGGCCTCAATTTTAGATTCCGCTGAAAAAGTACAATGACATAGTTTTGAAACGTTAAATTAACCCCTCTGCTAAATTTTAATGACGACTCCAAGACCAAACATTCGTATGAACTGATTTTTGGGGGCTAGCACATTTTCATCGTCTCGTTTCTTTAGTCTAACTTTGTAAAATTTGATCCATTTGACAATAAAGACACGTTCAAACATTTCTCCCTTCTCCCAAAGTACAAAAGATCGCAGAACTATTTCATGGCATTAGGATATTCCAACATATCAACCAAAGCCGGTCGCGATGGCAGATTCTCAAGACGACTCACAAGTGAAAACTTCTCACCACTGAGTGACAGATCCAGGCATTTTTTTTCTTGGTCCACGCTCAACACCACACATCTGTATCCATCTCCAGGTTTGAAATGAGTTTTAAGAGACTTTAACACCTGAAAATAAATGAAGTTGCACAATGACATTTAACAGAAGCTACGGCTGTAAACAAGAAAATCCTTCATACTTTCGGACAGTGTATTACTGAGTGACTAGCCCATACCTCTACATCAGACGAGGCGTGTAGAAGCCCAACTCTCCCGTTTACAGATGGACTCAGCATCATCCAAACGCAATAATCTGTGGCCTATTGATCAACAGTAGGTATTTAAGAACATTTATTGTAACCAATGAATACGCCATTATGGGATCAATTCACTCTCAAAACGCGTATCGTAAAACCCAAACCACAAATCACAAACAGTCTATCGGAGAAATGGAAAATGTTACAAGGAGTCTATAAGAACCCCTCCCCCCTTAAAAAACAAACAAACAAACAAACAAAAACAAGCAAAGTACTTAAAGCGCGGAAAATGCTTGGGACAAATCGCGATTGGTTTTGAATCTCATGGGTGGAAAAAGTGGCGCGATTTTTCCGGACCAATCGTGTAGCGAAGTAAAGCAAATCCAAAGTAATCCAAGATTAATTCGACTCTCTAATTGGAATTAATCTGAAACGAAGTTCTCAGAATACGAGGGTCTCACCCGCATAACTCTGTTGCATGGATTGGTAAAGAAGTAATGACTAAAGAGATACAGCAGATACAGCTAATTACACTAAGACAACTAATGCGTCGCGTACCGACTTCACAAAGCAATTTACGTCTTCCCCAACTTGGTAGTCCTCAAGTTTCTTGTCAGCTCCTCCCCCTTCATTATTTTCACTTGAAGCACTCTGCCGGTCACTACTGACTTCTGATAACTCACTTTCAAAAGTAGGGGAAACAACAACACAAAGATTGATGATGAGGCGTAAACAAAAAATAAAACTACTGCAGTTTCGTGTGGTTTGAACAATAGTCTAGCATTCTCGTTGCCAGGATCTCTCTCCTTCCCGTAAGCAGGGCAAGAGTAAGAGGAAACAAGCTCTCTCTCTCTCTCTTTTGCTCCGAGGGCGAGAGGAAAAGAAAAACTAGAAACGAATTTCAGTTGATTTGTTCTCGGTATTACCGAGTTCAACTGCATAGCTGCGCTCGGTAAACACCAACTCTTCGGCCTCCTGCCAGTTTGGATTTGTAACCTGACATGTTAATTTAGATTGTTCGTTTAATTGTTCCTAACTGACGCTAAAAAAAGACTCACTGAGAGTGGTTACAATCTGTCATACATGCACTGTAATACAGACACCTTAGTCGATGAGCGCGAAATTAAAGTTTTAATGTATTAGACACTTTCTTTCTATGGACTTACTTTTTTCCCCAAAAACGAGGTGTTCAAGTTTTTAAAACAAAGCTTGAGGCCACATTTAACAAATCGTAAAGCACCAAACAGCGTCAATAACGTTCACTTGTTCAACGACAACGAAATATTCTGTTTCAGTACCATGTGCTATGTTACCTTGGTTTCAATGTTAGCTCGGCTACAGCTTTAGTGAAGTTGGTGTGCGTTATTGGCAAGTACCTATAACAATGAAAAATATGACATAAAAATCAATAACCAGTACCACACCTACATCGAATACTTTTCAAAGAACCACGTACTGATTTTGAAAGCCACAATAATTATATTTTCAGTCAAAATTTTACCATGCACAACTTAATGCAAGTTTGTTTAATCTCTGAAACAGGCTGACTGTTTATCATAAACCACTGATGTATAGAGCAGTTTTCAATGGACAATGAGGGTGGAAAAAAAATCGGCCCTACAGTGGTTTTTACGACGGTACGCTCTGTGATTGATGAAGGAAACGCGCGCTACCTTCTCAACCAATCAGATGCTGACTCCCGACACTTTCCCAGCCAATCAAACGAAAACTTTAAAACAACCGTAACTTGGATAAAGGGTGAAAGTTTCTAAAGAAGCTGTGGTGCTGCGTCGGTGGGGGTAACAAGGTAATTTGGTTATATCAACTAAGTTGAAATTGTAAATTGGCTACCGTAAAGAGTTAAAAAGCTGACGTTTCGAGCGTTAGCCCTTCGTCAGAGCGCTCTGACGAAGGGCTAACGCTCGAAACGTCAGTTTTTTAACTCGCTACGGTGGCCTATTTACAATTTCAACGTAACTTGAATAGCCACGTTTTCCCATTAAAAGTGTTTATACAATTCGAGTTTGCGTTGGTTCTCCGTGATGTTTTCCGTCGTTCTGTTTGGCCTTGGTGATAACTTTGCCTTTGGTTTTACGACACTGGTACAGGATTAAAAAGCGCTCTATTATTCAAAATGATACCCCTTGACTGAAAGCTTTTCATCACTGCTTTAGCACCAGTCAACGCCTTCCAGATCAAAACTTAGATGTTTGACAAAGCCCAAAAAATTGACATCATATCAAAGACCATAAACTAAGAATTTACTTGTGCGTCTTCAAGTCGCGAAATCCAAGAATCTTGACTTGAATTTTATCTCCATTGTGAAAGCCCTTCAAAGGTGACTCTCCCTTTAAAGTAAACACAACGCAATGAAACCCTAACGTTAGTATACATATTCTTTAACGTCTTGTAAAGCAAGTTAAACTACATCAAAACGTCTATTGCTGAAAAAATCAAGACATTTTCTCACCTGTATAACCTTATCCCAAATTTGTGTGACGTGCACTCTTCCATGAAATTTCCCATCACACAAATTCACATTCAATTGAAGGTCCTTAACTGACTTGACCCTAGAATAAGAAAACAGTTCATTAATTGTTTAAATCGTTACCGTACTTCGGCAACGCATTGAGTAAATCGCTCAACAATGAGTCTTCCAACAGAGACGTAGGCTTTCATACATGTCTTTGCATAGACCATAAGCAGTCCTTACTTTTCAACGAAGTCCTTCGTGTGAGTTATAAAAATATTCGTAATGTGTCGCGTGAAACACGGTGCGCCTCACTCCCAAATATCTGCGCGCCGTGCAAACATCATTTTTTTTTCGATGAATTTTTTTTTTTTAATTCGCGCGACGGAATTCACCGAAAACGAGGGACTGCCTGTAGTTTAGTGTTTGTATTCCTTAGCTTACTGGCCGAGTTACCGACTCAAGAGATAAGACGTAAATGTATGCGAAAAATCGTATTTCTTAACTAAAAGACAAATTTACGTGTCTAATAAAAAAAAAAAGTAACACATTATCACTCACTGCGCTGTGGTAATAGCACCAGGCACGACATTTTCCTTTCCAATTTGTTTTTCTTGAAGCATCACCAGAGGTAGAAGATCGTTGTTCGCCTTGACTGGTCTAAGAGGAAACAAGTCAACAAACAATCAAACAATGTTAAACTTAAACTTATTTTACTTCTTCAGGTTTCACCTGACTTAAATATCGTTATTGGAAACCGGACGCTGCATCCTACACGCTGCCTGTGCGCAGCGCAAAACTTGAGGCACCTAAGAGGGGCTCGGTAAACATCACTGAGGGTTGACAACTTCACCGCTCCTGCTGCAATGCTAATGCAAGCCTGCTTGAAGGCTAGAATTTTCAAATTTTCCAAAGCTGGTGTGACACTTTTAGTACTTCTAATAACTGTAATTTCCAGCTTTTTGCGGATTTTCTGCTCCATTTGACCGGATTTCTGCGAAGATTTTTTTATATTTCCAATTCCTGAGGGTCATTCCGGATGACCCCTCAATGGTAATGCATTCGTTTACTCTCCTGGCATCGTTAAATAGATTTTCAGCCGACTCCTCCGCAAGGCACAAAGGCACATCCAACAAATAAATGCTCCACAACTGATTCAAAATAACTCGATAAACCTTACAATTAGGACGAGAAAAACTGGGATATCACGAAGAGAGTAACAAACGACGCAAAACAAAAGCCAATGGTCACGTTTAGACTCCGGATGTTCAAAAGGTGGATAACAATATTGACTAGATAAATCTACATCCAGTGGATAGAGCAGTACGTTTTGATAACACTTATCCGCTGGATAGCATTCAATCAGTCCCCTGGATAGCGTTATCTGCTCTTTACAGTAAGAAATAACTGCCGTAGAACGAGCCCTATCCCGTACCTTTGTACTAATGAAGAGTATTCTTGTCCCACAGCAAATCGTTTTGATGCATCTCTGATGTCGTTCAAATGCTACGACGCCAACAATCAAACAAAACTATGATTAAACTAAAGCCTTCTTTCAACCCCTTGACGCCTAAGAGTGATCAACATCTAATTTCTCCTCACAATATCACCTCTGGATCACACGTTTAGGTCATGAGAATAAAGGAAATGATCACCAAGTAAAGAAGATCTTGATTGCGAAGGATTAATCCGTCACGTGAATGCTAAACAACGTAACGTACATAGTTTTCACAAGGTCAGATATTTGTGATTCTTGTTTTACGACCCAAGTGAGCAGGTTTATCAAAAGCCCGTTAGTTTCATTTTCCAGAAAAGCTGTTCCTTTTCCTTTTTTCAGCCGTTTCACATTCAAGAACGAGAGAATAAAATTTTGGAAATTCAAACCACATTCAACATTTAGAAATTAAACAAAGTGGAATGGTGTTTGAGCTAAGACCCCCACAAATATTCCTCAGGTTTACAGTCTGAAATATGGCTTGGAGCCTGTAAAGTCAGCGGGACTTTCAAGAAACGGGCCTCAAGAAAATAAAGCACCAAGGACTGGTTCATGGTAGAACAACAAATAGTCTAGCCTCACCATTTTAGTAGGTGCATACGCCAGCTGGTAATTGTGTTGAGGAATCGTAACCACCATGTAGTTCTCCCTGATCAGTTGAACACAAGCATAAAAAATGCGTCCATGTTTCAGCTGCAACGACACAAAAGCCACACATCTGATCAGCAATTCTCCCTTCATGCTGCGACACATTTCCTCGAAAATTGGTCATGAGGAGTTGGCTATAGGGTGCGTTTTGACTGAGTTTTGTTAAACCAAAACCACAACAGCCAATCAGACGAAAGGAAAACATCACCGGTAGCCAATGAGAACTCGAGTAAAAACACGCAAACAGCTTCAAGCGCGGGAAAACGCTATTAAATAAGTCGCACTTGGTTGGTCGGTTGAGAGGATCATGCGACTTTTCTGGAACAATAACATGACGAAGTGAAGCAAAGCAAAAGCAATCCCCAGTACCCCTCAACACTCGATTGAAAAGTCTTCTCATATCGAGATGACAAACATCCAGTCTGTTGTCGTCAGAGGGTTACGTTAAAATACTCTGTTACAGCAAGGAGAAGTTAGAAATTTATCCCTTCTAGAATTACCTTCATAGTACTGTAAATTTATACAATTTGTTTTTACAAAGTTACCTCGTGAAAGTTTACCTTTTTTTGTGTTTTATTCTGAGTCTCCACAGCCTTTCTTTTAGCTACTAGTTGTGGATTTAATGAGACAATCACACATTTCTTATCGAAATCCCAGTCCAACACGCAGCCGCACACAACTTCGCCGGGCTCACAGCTTACTCCTTAAAAGAACAAACGAAAAAGTCAGCATGTGAGATATACTCTACAAAATCATGAAGTACATCTTTTTAAAGAATTAAAAACTTTGAGGCAAACTTAATTTTTAAGTTTGAGGGTTTTTTCTATATAGATGCTCCACAGGTATCAAAAAGAAATGTGGCACAACTGTATGAAGGAGCGAAGATACAAGCTGAAATCATTCCGTTATTCCCCAAAAGAAGACTGCTTCGTCAAACTGCCTGCTGCGTAGCAAGCGGTTTTGAGAGGCGAGCATTTTCATCCAAAATGAGGGCTGCAGAGCAGTGAATGAAGGAGGAAGACCTGCGGATAGAAAAGTCAATTTCCTACTTCCCATTTCTCTCGCAGATTTGTCAAAAAAAAAAAAACTGTCAGCTACGCAGGCTCTCTAAAGGCCTAGTTTATACGTCTCGCTATAGTCGAATTTAATTCAGACGAATTTAATTCAAGGTCCCACAAGCAATTAAATTCGACGATAGCGCGACATTTAAAACGAATTCAATTCGTCTGGTAAATTAAATTCGTCCTAAAAGTTTTATCCGTCTTGGCAAGACAGATAAAATATTGATAACGCGTCTTCAGTTTTAACTTCGCACTAGCGTCGCGTCGAATGAAATGCATACATTTTCTTAATTTATTTTGGCGAGCCCGCAGCGACCCGTGGCGAGCTTTTCGAGTGATACCTCTGACCAGATACACTGCATTTGGGAAGATAATTAAATTCGACCGTATTGATTTCGACGCATAAAACCACGCCACGGTTTATGTCGACGGAACGACGAATTTAAAGGAATTAAATTCGTCTGAATTAAATTCGACTGTAGCGCAACGTATAAACTAGGCCTAGGTGTATAAGTAAAACATGATTATAATCAGCATCAAATCTCCTAAATATACCTTTGGCAAGTTGGTGGGGAGTGAAACCCTGAACACCGTTGGCAAGCTGCAGAAGGATGCCTCGGAATTTCACAGTGAGGACCTGAACGTGGAAATTATACATATATGTTTTAACTTTACGATACATTATTTGAAGTGCCAGGTACCTGAATTTCACAGTCGAAAGTGTGAACCCCATTCACAGCTCTTTATAAACATTTCTTGATTCGGGTAGGCAAAAATGAAATTTTCAGCGATAAAAATTGCGTTTGCAAGTTTATGATACACATGCAAAACATTCAGCATCCTCGTCGGCTGGTAAGGAGGTCAATGAATCACGAAAAGTGCATAAAATTAAAAACCGGCGCAAAAATTTCGCATTGAATGTACATTAAAAGAAAAAAAATGCCATTCCAGCTGGAGAAATTTCTTTGGTCGTTGAAAAACTATTCCGTGCTTATTTGCTCTTAAACGATCACCTGTAAAAATTGATAAAGGGGGTAAGTTTCTAAAAAAAATTTTGGTGCTGCGTCAGTGGAGGTAACAAGGTAATTTCAAACCACGTTGTTTTTATCAACTAAGTTGAAATTGTAAATTGGCAACCGTAAACTGAGAGTTAAAAAGTTACGGTGGCCAATTTACAACTTCAACTTAGTTGATAAAACCAAATTACCATTACAAATTGGCTTCAAAAGTGAGCATGATGATGAAACGCTAATGAGAACAACATTATAAGTCCTTCAATTTCTTTACCTTCCCCTCGACACAAGATCCTGGACCAAGTGAAAACAGTGCCTCCATCTCCTCTATAAACAACAGAACCACAGTAGTTATGATTAGAAGTGGAAGTCGCAGTCACATTGTCGGTCAACACAAGAAGATATCAATATTTGTCTAAAAATCGCCACCTTCGCTTTACACACCTGAACTGGACGCCAATTGTTGAACGATCTTCTGTCTCTCGGAGAGATAATTTTCCAACAACTCTGCACCAGGATCAGAACTCCCTTCAATGGTCTTTTCAGGGCAACAGTCGGACATTTTCAGACTGACAAGAAATCTTTGCCTTTCTTCATCAATTTCGGTGACCTAAAATGTATTGAGAGAGCACCATGTACGTATACGTGTAAACCAGCGCAGTGTTCAATTGGGTGTCCAAAGTAACCGGGATTTCTTTGGTTTTGCCTTACTCTGCTCTGTGATTGGTCTAGAAAACTCTCGCTATCCTATGAACCAATCAGAAGAAGAACGAAAGCAATTCGTGACGTGGTCATCCACGTTTTCCCGCGCTTTTGGCAGTTGTCTGTTCTTACTTTAAGTGGACATTTCTACTTATGACCGCTTTGCCGAAAAAGCGCACATCAGCTTCGTTTCGCTACTGCAAAACTTAAGCCAAACTATAGAAAATTCAACGGCCAATGAGAACGAGGGAAAATATCACAAGGACGTAGATGAGAACTTCAAGCTGAGACAAGCAAACTGCCTGAAACGTTGGAAGACGCGAGTAACCAGGGGCCCATTTCTCCAAAAACTTGGTGGTCAGATCGGCCCCGAAAAGCCGGTTTATGTTTTCTATGTTTACATTTAATACCGAGATACTAAAAGTTTTGGAAAAAGTTCAAGGGAGCTTCAACAATTAGAACCCTGGTCGCGGATGATCTGCTTACAGGTCGCAGTTGGATTAATTTTTACATTTTATTCCTAGAAAAGAAGCCCCAGATTCTAGGACAAACCACAAGGCGAAGAGCAACAAAGCTAACGAAAGCCCAAATCCCTATCCACACTAAATGAAAACTGGGTATTCACTCCGACGAAGGGCTAACGCTCGAAACGTCAGCTTTTGTAATCGTTACGGTGGCCAATTTACCACTTCAACTTTGTTGATATATCCAAATTATTTCGTTACTCCCACCGACGCAGCCCCAAACAGTTTCTTTCGAAACTATCAGCCTTCATTAAATGAAAACTGCTCTATTCTGCTTTGAAAGACTCTTACTCAAGATCTATAGTTAAACATTTCTCTTCCTCTCGATGGAGTAAACGCTCTGGAGTCAGTAGTTGTCAATAGTAAACGCTCTGGAGTCAGT